ATGATGCAGTGCCTGTTTTCCTCTGACTCTTCCTTCCTCTTAGCAGGCGGGTTTCATATTTCAGTGGGCTTTAAGATTGCAGTCTTAAACATATATGTGTTATGCCTCACCTTATAATATGTCTCTCTTATAATCTAAGAGAGCCCTAAAACTTGTGTAAGTATTCATAACTACATTGTGAATTATAATGGGACTAACCTATCTTCCTTGTGACTTTTTCTAAAGATTTATAAGAAAATGTTTTGATATAAGGTGACTGTCTCAAAGGAGAAACCAAAAAGAAGAAAACTTACACCAACATTTTCTGGATCGTGATAACTTATTTACTTTAATGCTGTTAACATATTGGAAAGAAATAAGAAATATATTTAGCCATTTAACAAATAAATAAGGACATTTTAAAATGCCTTATGTGATCTGTCCTCCTTTGTGGTCCTAATCAACCAATCAGAATTGAGTTCATGTGGAGAAACTCTGTCTCAAATGTGACATTGCAGAAACATATTTAATTCAAAGTAGGCTAGCCTGATTTTTCCTTTCTTTCAAGTAAAATGCCGATCAGTAGATGGGGACATTTACTAATAGTCATATCTGAGAGGCTTACAAATGTTATTAACTGTGTAATAATATGTAGATTAATCAGGATTATTTAAGGAAATAATCACTGCAAATCCTGATAATTCATGTTAATGTCAAAGCAGGAAAATATTGAAATCCTGTTTTCATTCAATGATAAATCAGCTTTATCAGTACGCAAATCCCGTTGAATGTAGTGGAAATATATATGAATGAATCCTTTGGCAGCTGAATATGGTATAAACGTGGGCTAAATAGGTTGTGCTCTACTTACCATGACTTTCAGTTTGACATTGGTCTGCCCAGCGATTGGTAATTTCATATTCTTATAAGTGAGGATGTCAAGTAATAGGCCCTTATTTTGGCATCCTCCTCTGACAGGGGATGGGCCACACTTATTAGAGTGTGGAACCATTGTCAAATTGCTTTTAAGAGCCTATGGATGCCTGAACTATTGCTCCCCAACCTACCCTAGATTATTCAATCTCACAGTCCCATTGCTGGCTCAAGATAAGATGGAGAATCCATGCAGTGTGAGCTTATCTGAACTTAGCACACACTCTCAGGAGGATGAGATTTCACTACAAATTCCCTCCATGCTCCTCAGGTATGACCCAATTAATGTGTGAATTTTCTGCCTTTCCTTTTCACTCCCTGCCGCATCCATAACTGATGGAATTTTTAAAATAAAAACAGGGATGGCGTCTTTCACGCAAATATCCATTGAGCAGGTTTTGAGGAAGAAATACTACTGTGTGGTTGCCCATTACACATGACTTCGTGCTTTAGCTTTGGATATTTCTGAAAAAAAAAAAAAAAAAAAAAAAAAACCTTAATTATTTTGATGGCTGGATATGATTGAAAGAACATGCGGTTGAACAAATCACAATAAGTAAATGGAACAGTTAATCAGTTTGAAACACATGAATACCATTGAGAGGGCTGAATTAAACTGGGTAGTATTTTCTCTGACTGGAACATTGACTAAGAAGCATAAGTGATGGGGGAAAAAAAGACTTAATTTGTAGTTTAAAGATTATTTCTGTTTTTTTTTTTTTACATCAAACTGGAATTGGCTCAGTCAATATCAGTGGTTTATTGTCCTTCTTATTAGAAAAATTAAATGCACAATACATTCTAGAGTACATCAATCCTGCAGTGCTGTGACCACTTTGTGATAGCACGTTTTTATACATTAAT